GTTCGTGGACGATATGAATGCAACTTGGATTACAAAGGAAATGTTAGAGATGCAATTCTAAGTCTAATCTTCCAGGATTTACAAAGTTGTCATAACTAGCTCTAGGATCCGGGAAAGCTTTAGCAAACTCTAGTTTGTCTAAAAGCTCGTCAACAAAGAAAGAAGAAATAAAAAGTTTCCTCTGACTGGAAGCCATGAAATTCTGCCTCACCGCATCGTCTAGAAATTTGAGTAGGTTATTGAAATAACCGTCAATGTTCAAGAGACCAATGGGTCTATTGTGTAACCCTTCAGAAGCCCATGAGATCAAGGTGAACAAACCTTCCATAGTGTCAACTCCTCTGGGAAGAATGATGAAAGCTTCCACGGCATGATTCATCTCAAAATATTTGTAGTAATTGCTGGAAACTGTGTGCTCTACGCCGTATGTAGGTCCGTAGACCCGTCGTGTTGCTATGTACCCAGGAATGAAACCTCTAACGAGACCACCATTGGTAAAGACTGTTGAAGCAACAGCTCCTTGTAGGCCAACATTGCCTCCTCCATAAGCAAGACTAATTCTTCGCCTTATCAATTCTCTTCCTAAATTTACTGCAGTAGCCATAAACTTTGGATTTCTACCAAGAGAATGACTGCCAAGAAGACCAACGAATCTTATGGTGTAAGGAAGTGTTCGAGAAGTTCCTTCCATAATGTGAGAATGTGAGATACTCTTCCCATAATCATGATATATATAGTCTCTGGAACCTGACCATTGATGGAAAAGTAATTATCACCAGCCAAAATACGTACAGAAAAATGAATTCGCTTCAACTATCTACAGACAAAAGTGTACTCATCAATACTGTAGTCTACTGACAATGTGACATATTGAGACCAATGAATAGTTAGATTCGCTGTCCTGAAATACGATCAAATCCGAGACGAAAAGTCAAAACGACTATTTCCTAGGACAATGACTCCTTGAGTAACTTCCAAAGAGTGAAACATTGAATAAAGAAAATCTACGATTGGCAACGATAAGTCGCAAA